TCACTCTTCTCCTCTTCAGGTTCTTCAGGTACGTGTGCTTATCCATTAGCTAACTATATCTCTTATGATAAGTTCTCGCCGCAGTTTCGCTCCTTCTTAGCCGCAGTTACAGATGCCCATGAACCTACTTCATATCACGATGCAAAACACAATGCTAAGTGGCGTGATGCTATGAACGATGAATTGCAAGCTCTTGCAGCAAATAATACATGGACTTTGGAAGATCTTCCGACTGGAAAGAAGGCCATTGGATGCAAATGGGTATACAAAATAAAACATCGGTCTGACGGTAGTATCGAGCGATATAAGGCTCGTCTTGTTATTCTTGGAAATCATCAGAAAGAAGGTATTGATTACACTGAGACATTTGCCCTTGTTGCTAAAATGACTACAGTTCGTACTTTTCTTGTTGTTGCTGCTATCAAAGATTGGGAAGTCCATCAAATGGATGTTCACAATGCATTTTTACATGGCGATTTGGCTGAGGAAGTGTATATGCGGTTTCCACCGGGGTTCCAGACAGATGATACATCTAAGGTTTGTCGTCTTCATAAGTCTCTTTATGGATTACGACAAGCTCCACGATGTTGGTTCGAAAAGCTCATGCAAGCTCTTCTTCGGTTTGGTTTTGTTCGGTCATATTCCGATTATTCTTTGTTCTCCTTTATACGAGGCGATGTTCGGTTACATGTTCTCGTCTATGTTGATGATCTATTGGTGGGTGGTAACAACACAACTGCTATTACACAATTCAAGGCATATTTGCATCAATGTTTTCACATGAAGGATCTTGGAACTCTTAAATATTTTCTTGGGATTGAAGTTGCAAGAAGTTCTGAAGGTATTTTTCTTACCCAACGGAAATATGCCTTGGATATTATCGATGAATGTGGACTTATGGGTGCCAAGCCGACGACATTGCCTGTTGATCAGAATCACAGGCTTGTTTCTTCTACAGCACCTGTGTTTGAATCCCCGGAAAAATATCGGCGTTTGGTTGGTCGATTGGTTTATCTTACCATCACTCGACCTGAACTCTCATATATTGTTCACATATTGGCTCAATTTCTGCATGCACCTCGTGTTGATCAGTGGGATGCGGCTTTACGAGTGGTGAAATATTTGAAGGGTTGTCCCGGTCAAGGAATTCTTCTGCGGGCTGATAGTTCTTTGCGTATGACAGCCTATTGTGATTCAGATTGGGCTGCTTGTCCTATCTCTCGACGCTCTCTTTCAGGTTATGTTGTGGTTCTAGGGTCTTCGCCGATATCTTGGAAGACAAAGAAGCAACCCACTGTCTCTCGTTCATCTGCAGAAGCCGAGTACCGCGCCATGGCTTTCACATGTTGTGAGGTGATATGGCTCCGTGAGATATTGTCTATCTTAGGAGTCACTCATCATGATCCGGTTCATTTGCATTGTGATAGCCAATCGGCCCTCCATATTGCTTCGAATCCAGTCTTCCACGAACGAACCAAACATATCGATGTTGATTGTCATTTTATTCGGGACGAATGGAAGGCGGGACGTATCTCATTCTCTTACTTACGAACGACCGAGCAATTAGCGGATATATTCACTAAGGCGGTTGGACATTCTACATTTGGTTATCTTCTTGGCAAGTTGGGTGTTCGTGATTACTACACGCCAACTTGAGGGGGAGTATTACGATATGTAAATATATTAGGATTTGTATAGTTTCCTTATTTGGCTCATATTTCCTTTTTCCTTGTTAAGTACTCTCTCCAACTTTGTATACATACATGCGTAGCTAATGAGAAACCCTAAGATTGATTTTTCCAAGACATATCAAGCTGTGTCCATCAGAGATGTCGGATCTGCTTTGTAGAATGCCAGACGAGTTTGTTGTTTCACCCTTCACCATTCAAAAAGATCAACGATTTGTTCATGTTTGATCTCCTGAGATTTTCTTTTTTCCTGGAAACCGAAGATATGAAAAACTTGTTTTTTTTTTATAATCAGGAAGTTCATCAGACTTTTAATTCGATTACATCTTCCAGAAGATTGTAAACTCCAGGTGAATGGAGTTTACTCCCTCCTTTACCAGTTGAACATCCCAAATGTGGGTGAGATATAAAAATCTAATTCAATGCACTGGATTTCTTGGGATCACTTTCGGTACAGTTGAAACAGTCAACACCTGGCTTTTCCTTCATGAGTTTTCTTGTTCTGATTCATCAGCTTCTGTGTTTTCTTTCATGGTGGTGTTTCCAGTGATCTCCTGCACAAAAAGTGACCTCGCTTAGTTCACCACTGTTTCCTTCTCTTCTCTCTTTCAGAGGCAGGAGATGCTATTATCCATCACCATCATCTTGCTACCTCTTTAATCTTTTCTTCCGTTTGTTGTAAAAATATACATAATGCATGAACCAAGGAAACCGAAAGCTGTAAAATTTCAGCAACCATTGATTAGAATTTCCATATACCTGAAAAACCACCAAAGGAACCAATGGTGGATAGATGAAAGAGGCAGTCTGAGAAATGAAATCCGTGCCTTTTGCGAGCTGGATAAAGCCTCTAGAATTGTTGATGGAAATATATTAGAGGTTACGCTAATCTTTAACCGAGGAAGCAGAACTGGAATATCGAGGGATTCGAAATGAATACATAGAACTTGCATGTGAAAACTCACATCGTTGCTTGCCATGTTCCTCCTCAGCATGGTGCATTTTACCTGAGAGTTTCTCCAACTGAAAACAAAATACCAGTGATTCTTTTAGACATGGAGATAACATGGTAAAGGAACTTTCAACATGATCATAAACAAAGACAAAATTGCCAGATCCACTCCATGCTGCTGATATATGTAAAACCAACTTGCAGAAACAGAAGGGTTGATCTGAGAAATTAACCCTAATCCAAATGAAAACAAAACAGGAGAATGCTAAGGCAGCAGAAAGGAAAAGGGTAAAAGACATCCCCAACATCAGTGTACTTCAAAGTAGGAATATCCAAGAAAGCATCCTTAGCCACTGCAGAAACATGATCATGGGAATCAACCGAATGTTACGTACAGACACAGGAAGCAAAGGGCAATGATCATTGTTAAGCAAATGCTACTTTGAACGAGAAATTAGCATTCAGATGAATTGTCACGAGACTAAAAAAACTGAAATTTGATAAGCGAACAGAAGCTTTGTTCTTCAACTTCCGAATTCCCATCTTAGTAGAAAGAAAATTTAACAGCAACGCAACGAAAATCTTGGGAAAACCCTAAATCCCAGCAAATCACATGAACACACCGAGATAGATATAGAGAAACTTACCCTCAAAGCAATCTCGTATTGCTCGGAGTCCAGAAAATCGATGAGAAGCTTCATGAACTCATCAAATTTGGACCTCAACCAAGGTCTGTAAATAACTTGGGGGGTCATCTTCTCCCGCATTCTCCGAAGAATCGCCGCTTTGACGAAGAGGAAGAAGACGATGGACGCAGATGGATAAGAGGGGGTGAAGAAGGACCGAAGGGAGAGGAGGGATCCGACGACAAACTGAGGCGGAGAATCCGGCGAGACGAAGGAGAGAAGGAGAAGGAGGTTGTTGATGTGAGGCCGTGAAGATAAGAGATCGTGACCCAATGGCTTGAGCTCCTTCAATGTGTACTTCTCTTTCTTCTTCTCCTCCCCTTCTTCGAGAGAATCGACGCCATTGCTGAACTCCTCCTGGTGTGGCGAGAACGAAATCAGTTGGAACGACGCCGTTTCGAATGGCCACGTGACACGTGCAATGAATATATATATATATATATATATATATATATACCCGCGAGCGCATATTTATCTGAAATTTCAGATTTTGCCTAAACTTCTTGAAACTTAATATTACCCTAATATTGAATATAAATTTCAGATTGATCTAAAATTTTATCTTGGGGCGACACGAGTAGCTTATTACTTTTTGATTGAGACATGGACTAAAAAAAATTATCACCAACATACATGATTTTCTTTTTTTTTTTTTTTTTGTAAATGAAATATTATAAAATTTGTCACCGGAACCACGTGTCCCTCTTAAATACATGTGTATCGGGTCAAGTGTCCATAAATCCTAGCATTTTATAACGCGCATTACAAAATATTTATGAAATACAAAGTTGATGGGAAAAAAAAAACAGGGGAATGAAAGATGTAAAATATCTACTATATAGATTCATGTGGCATTATAAATATGAAGACATTCGACCATAAAGCCAGGGATGGGCCACCGTAACAACAAAAAAGGGGCCGAAATTATTGTTCGATGGGGTGGGGAAACATGTAATAGCCCTTAGATATTATTCCCCCAGCAACGAAATGCATGGCTGGCATTTCGAAAGTTTCAATGAAAAATATCAAATCGGTCCATATCCAATTTCAAAGATCAATAAAAAAATATTTATTTTCTTTCTTAATTGAACATATGATCTAACCTTGGAAACTAAAACCCTAACTCCATGCATCTCCATGCTATAGATATTAAACACATATATAAATGAAAACCCACGATTTTTATTTAAAAAAAAATACTATATTCCAACCATCATAAACTATTATGGAAAATATAAGATTTTTTTTGAAAAACCATCTTTTAACGTCTTTGACGTAACAATAGAATCATATGATAAGGATTTACGTATTACATTGGTAAATCGATGTCAATGTCATATTAATGCCACATCAGTAACACCAATTTAATAATAGCAGAAATATTTTTTTATGGTAACAAATTATAAAACCATTAGTATTGCATTATATAGTTTTTATGAATGTAAAAACAAAACATTCGATCTTATAATGTTACGGTTAAAGAATGTATTGTCCGATTAATTTTTTTTTCTTGATGTCGATCTAATAAGCAATAATTAAGATGGGAATCCATTTTATGTCATGGTCGAAGAAAACAGAGAGGAAAAGAGAGCGCGTGGCGACACGCACTCAGCAGCTGGCAACAGCCCATTTCCCTCTCATTCTTCCCATCCCCCTTTATATTCCCCTCTTCCCCCTTTCCTTATCCTTCACCTCCCTTCCCGTCGCCGCCATGTCTCCTCCGTCGCCGATCTCCTTCTCCATTTTCCGATCACTTCTCCTCCTCCTCCTCTCATTCCTCTGTTCGCTCGCTTTAGCCGAGCAAAAGCCCTCTGTTCAACCCTTCGACGTCACCGGAGAGATTGAGCGGATTAACCCTAAGCTTCCCCCGAAGACCCTCTCGCTCACTTCCTCGAAGCGATTCGAGGGTTCTTCGGATCTCGTCCACCTCCGTTACCATATGGGTCCGGTCCTGTCGTCTTCTCCGATCAACATCTACCTCATCTGGTACGGTCGGTGGTCTCGCCCTCACAAGGCCCTAATCAGGGATTTCCTCAACTCCATCTCCGACGCCGCAGTTCCTGCCCCCTCCGTCGCCGAGTGGTGGCGCACCGCCTCGCTCTACACTGACCAGACTGGTGCCAACGTCTCCAAGTCCGTGCTCATCGCCGGCGAGTACAACGACGCTAGATACTCCCACGGTATCCACCTCACGCGCCTCTCGATCCAGCAGGTTATCGCCTCCGCCGCGAAGTCGGCATCCTTTCCCGTCGACCACCGGAACGGGATGTACCTCGTCCTGACCTCGCACGACGTCACGATGCAGGAATTTTGCCGCGCCGTCTGCGGATTCCACTACTTCACCTTCCCCTCCATGGTTGGATACACGATGCCGTACGCTTGGGTGGGAAACTCTGGCAAGCAGTGTCCGGAGGTTTGCGCGTACCCGTTTGCCATCCCCGGGTACATGGGCCACGCCGGTCCTGGGGCGCTCCGACCGCCGAACGGCGAGATGGGTGTCGATGGTATGGTGAGCGTGATCGCTCACGAGCTCGCCGAGGTGGCGTCGAACCCGCTGGTGAACGCTTGGTACGCCGGAGAGGATCCGACGGCACCGACGGAGATCGGAGATCTGTGCGAGGGGTTGTACGGAAGCGGCGGGGGAGGAGGGTATATTGGGCAGGTGATGAGCGACAGAGGAGGGAAGACGTTTAATATGAATGGAAAGGGAGGGAGGAGGTTTCTGGTGCAGTGGATCTGGAACCCTAATCTGAAAGCTTGCTCTGGTCCTAACCGCATGGACTAGAGGAAGAAGACGAAGACGGTGATGATGGAATAATGGCTGCCGGAGACATTTGGTGTTCAGGATTAGGTTATTAGTGTAACATTAATAGACTTTATTTTTTGAATATATTTCTTTGTTTCGATATAGTATATATATATATATATATATTGTTTGTGGCCTTAATTACGCATTTTAATTTTCTAAATTGGTAGTTTCTCGTTATGTTTCGAATTAAAGCTTAACTAACACTAGTTCTCTCATTTTCTGAAAGTGGACCCGTTTCAGTGATTATACAATGTTCACCGAATTATGATCTAATCGTAAATTGATTTAAATAACATGTTTTGAAAATATAATAGATAATTCATTTAATTTCCCTATGCTTCATATTTTTCTTGACGTGGTTATGCCAACCTCTCAACAGATTTTTTAACAGTCGTAATCATTAGATGCTGCTAATTGACTGTAGCCACGTTAATATTGTTTTTAACATAATAATGATTATTTAAAGTATTTTTATTTAACGAAGGCTTCCTATTCATATAGTATTTTTTTTTTAATATAATAAGCTGACTTCTGTCACATAAAAACAATTTGAAGTTTTGAATTTCAAACAACTAACTGTCCATAACTAATGAAAGGTGTCTGATGACACACGGGTTATGTCAACTGGTCAATTTCCAACTTTTCAACACCTGTATATCTGTCAATAACAAAAGTAGCCCTATGTATACTAATGCTCTTATAAATTATAATTAATTATTTTAATATGTCACACAAAAAAAAAACATAAATTCGTGCCAATAGAAGTGAGCTAACAATTAAAGGGTATAAACATGATTTTTATTTTGAGTTTTTGGTTTAGTTTTTGGATTTTGGTTTTTAATTTTTAGATTCTATAATATTTATAAATTCAAAAAATGTAGTTTTTGATTTTTATTGATTTTTTTTACCAAAACGGATTTTCAAATTTTTAGAAAACTAAATTTATAAAAATTTAAACAGTTACTTCTTAGGTTTTAGGATTCTAAAAATTTCAAAAAAAAAAACTCCAATTATTCAAGACCAAAATACAATACTTAAAATCTTTTTTCATACCTCAAAGCTAATATGGTATAATGTAAATGATCATTGCTAGGAGCAATCAATGTGGAATTGGTAAAAAAAAATGATCGTTAAATTGAGAAACTGTCTCACCTTTATAAGTTAAGCATCTTCATTAAGCAGAGATAACGATAATAATAATAATAATAATAATAATAATAATAATAATAATAATAGATATAATTAATTAATTGATTGTGAGGCAATTTGGGTAGATTGTTTGACCTCCTTTATTGTTTTTGCCCCTTTAATGTTTAGAATAAGAAAATCATTTCCTTTTTTTTCATTTCTTTTTTCATTATTATTATTATGAATGACGTGACTGACGGTGGAGACAATGTCTCACCTTTAAATTTTTCGGGACAAGTAAAAAAAAAAAAAGGAGAAAAGTTTGTGATCCACAGCTAAGAGAAGGGTCCATATGTAAACAATAATCATTACCAATTCCCCATGAACGCATTAATTATGATATATATATATATATATATATATCAAATTAATTCAAATTGGAGGGATCAATAATGTCAGATGAATGAATTGTAAAATAAATGAAAGTGTTTTTGGCATCTAGCTGATAATTATATTTAGAGAGAGAGTATCCTTTCTTAGAGAGAGGTATGTGTTCATAAAGCACCCTCACCATGATTTTCTTTGTTTGATTTTTTTGAAGTAAATATCATCTCCTATAAGAATTAAAACAAAAATATGTTGATTCGAATTTTATATTAAATTTGTACTGGAGTTGTTAAGAAAATCATCTCTAAACATTTAATTTTATTTTCTTCGTAATTATTATATACGTTACATTGTACTCTAATATAATTTGATTACATTGATTTGTTTAATATCTAAGTCGAATCGAAATGGCAACCTCAAATTATAATATCTCAAATGGGAAGAATCTTTCCGGTTTAAATTAATTACTGTGGTTAGTGAAATTGATGAGATTCCAACAATAACAATATCATGGAATTTTTTTTAAAATTTTGTTTTGATTATGTCCGAAACCCGCTGAATTTCAACATTCCAACAACCGTTTGTAACAATCAAAGCCCACTTTTGCTTTTGACAATTTGATGTCTTGCAAAATCACGGGCTTCACTTGTTATAGTAATAATATAGCATAAGACCCACCTTTATATATATACACACACACACACCTATATATACACATGTATATATCGAATGCTTATTATTAATTTATTGTACCAAGGATTTATTTGGTTCGGTGACCATACCCGACACAATGAGAGTCTCACACAATAGAATCATTACAGTTTCTCATCAGTCAAAAAGAAATTCGAGCGAAAGAAATGGGTTTCAATGAATCATGTCTAATAATAATAATAATAATAATAATAATAATAATAATAATAATACTAATAATAATAATAATAATCCCATTTGAGACAACTCTAATGTTGTAGATCGACTAATTTTGAAAACATATTATATCAAGTTATCGTAATGATTATATATCCCACTAATTTTGAATAATAAATAATAATAATCTCTAATGATTTTATCTGCACGTACGTTTGCAAGATGGACTGTGTTATGCTGTAATATCAGACAGATACCCATCTTATTGATTTCGTATACACGACATGTATATGTATCCAACATTACCGAAAAGCGTTGTTTTCATGTCCAATGGGTCTATAACGGGCCCATTAAAGGCCCATTAATAAGCCCAAAAATTAATTGAAATAAGGCTTTGCGGTGACGCGCAATTTTTGTTTTTACCAATTCAAATACGTTAAATAAAAAGTTTGGAGTCTTTCTAAAAACATTTGGTTTGAGTCTCTTTCCAAATCAATTGTTTTACGCACACGGCACACCAATTATTTAACACATTATGTTTATAATTAATTCAGTATCGAATATTCTTAAACTAATTATTTAGGTGTTGAATGGCAAGGCTTTTGGGAGTTTTTAGTGTTGAGAATGAAGAAACGAAGGTAACATACACGGTGACGTGCATGGAAACTTCAAGCGTATGCATGAAGAAAATTCTGATGAGTACACCGATATGGACCGTAACTCTCAACTTGGAAAGGAAGATACACGGACGTGATATAGGCTGGACAATAAGGCAACGAACAGAAGTTTGGCATCCTATATATTATTATTTCTATAAGTTATCTAGTATATTTTCTAAATTACCTTATTTCCATACCATAATATCTATAATTATATTATTTCCTTATTGTTCAAAGTGCCGTTGACATGTCCTCTTGTATATATCATTGTGAACTTTCGTTGTATGAAAAATAAGTCTGAATAAAAAACATATAGAGTATTTCTTTTAATTCTAAGCTTTCTTCCTCATTTCAGACTCAAATCTATTGGTATATTCTATATTTCTTCATGGTATCAGAGCACTAAGGTCCTTTGACCTCTCTGAATATTGATTTTTTTTTTTGCTTCCGCAACCAAAACCAAAAGCTCCAATGGAGTTTCATATGCCAAAGAGAGTTGCAAAAATTTTGCAATCTTTTACTTGTGTCAGAGCTCTCAACTTCATAAAAAATGTCACATATGAAATGACATTGGAAGAGATGAAAAGTGAGAGCAAAATCCTTTGGCAACAACTCGAAAATTTCTATCCCGCCTCTTGTAGCACAAATAGATTTCAAATCAATGCCACTCTTGTGTACCTTTCTATGCTTGATGGATCATTCAATGAATTGTGCTTTCAAATCCTCCAAGAGGAACCAGTACCATCCATTACAGAAGTAAGGGCGAGAGTGAGCAAGTTGGAGTTTGAAAGGATGCTAAAAGGGAGAGAAACATGTAAGTACACCGAAACTGAATATTACAACAATGCATATTATGGTTTTTGTGCTCAAGTTTTGCAGGGGCTAGAAAAAGAAGCCTTGAATATTCAACATAATGATGAGGACAAGGTGGTGCATTCCGAAGAGGACCAATATGCAATCACCAATGAAAAAGTTTCTAAAGAAAACAAACAAGATGACACAATCGATGAACCGCGAGAAGATGAGGGACGAACGGAGCAAGCTAACATGGTGGACGACTTCCATGAGGAAATGAATTCCCACAATGAAGCGAGGACCATGGACACAACGCTCGTAGCCTCACCAATTCGGTTATCTCTACAACCTTTTTCATTTGAGTTCCAATTTGATTCTCCGTTGTCTATGAATTTGTTTGGACAAAAGGTAGTCCAAAAGTATGTCAAGAACGTTTCTAGCTCTCTCATTTTCGTCTACAATGCCTCTGGAGCATCTCGACGAGGGGGAATGTGTGGTGAGCAATTTTGGCCGAAAAATATGAATATTTTTCCTATGAATTATGAGAACTCTAGGCTAGGTATCTCTTATTGTCCATTCATTTTTTGTTTTGATCCTGGACCATTCTTACATGTTTTTAATCAAGCATATAAATTTATGTATACTTGGATTGCATTCAAATACAACATTGTTGCATTCACTTTGTTTTCCCAGATTTTCTTTATCATGTTTGTTTTTGAATGCACCACCATGAAAGTTTAGCAAAACTTTTCATATTCTAGAGATTTTATCACACATGACAATTTCATTCATTTAATATATAAGAGGAAACATAATCAAATACAAATCCTGCATGAAAATTTCGTAGAGAATATCATATCTCCAGATACTATTTTACTTGCACAAAATGATTTCAACAATCATCACGGTACAAAGCATGTTAGAACAGATTCTTATGATAAGTTTTACGCATTAGAAGTCACGTTTTATAACCATAAAACACTTCATCTTCTATTATACGATTATAGACATATTTTTGTAACATTACTTTCACTTTATTGTGTAAATCGGAGTGCATTGGCCTCCTTTGTGTTTTTTGACCTCTTTGGTGAGTGTTTACAGGATTTACAAACCAATCAAAAGATGGATGGCATGCTTGAGGGGGAAATAGTTATGATGCTAATGCAAAAGAAGACGATACAATACACATGGACGGACTTTTACAACCATGAAGGTATTCACCAGTCAAGATTGGTTTTTTTTCGGCATTCCTCCACACCAATCTTGAGGGGGAATGTTGAGAATGAAGAAACGAAGGTAACATACACGGTGGTGCATGGAAACTTCAAGCGTATGCATGAAGAAAATTCTGATGAGTACACCGATATGGACCGTAACTCTCAACTTGGAAAGGAAGATACACGGACGTGATATAGGCTGGACAATAAGGCAACGAACAGAAGTTTGGCATCCTATATATTATTATTTCTATAAGTTATCTAGTATATTTTCTAAATTACCTTATTTCCATACCATAATATCTATAATTATATTATTTCCTTATTGTTCAAAGTGCCGTTGACATGTCCTCTTGTATATATCATTGTGAACTTTCGTTGTATGAAAAATAAGTCTGAATAAAAAACATATAGAGTATTTCTTTTAATTCTAAGCTTTCTTCCTCATTTCAGACTCAAATCTATTGGTATATTCTATATTTCTTCATTTAGATTTTAAAAACTCAAAAAATTGTCAATCAAGTTTTTTAAATTTGGTTTTCTTAAAAACGAAAACCACTTTAAAAACTAAAAGCTATATTTTTTTTGGATTTACAAATGTATAAAAACCAAAAGCCAAAAACCAAAAACTAAAATCTAAAAACCAAAAACTAAATCCAAAAACTCAAAATAAAAACCACATCCATTCAACACCTTAATCTTCAACACCTTAATCTTGTTTTGTATTTGTGATACTTGCGTTATTCGATTTCTAGTCCTTAGAATTGATTACTAAAATTTACCGCTAAAATGATTAAAAAATATTTTTTTTGGATGTTGTAAAATTATTTTACAGAGGAAAAACGTGTGAGCAAATGCCTAAAGTCAAATAGTTAAAAAAAAAAACTATATTGGTGATGAGTGAATTCAATAAAGAGATATATATATAATAGTGCACATAGATGGTCCGAATAAACGGTGGGTCCAAGTCTCACGATTAATAAATAATCCTAAAATTTGAAATCATAATCAACGATCACTTGAATGTTTATGGGATGAAAAGTTGATGAAACTTTTAAGCAAAGCAAATGAATTGTCTATTGTCCATATTAATAAAAAAAAATCGTGAAAAACAAAGAGTTAGATTGTTTGAATTATTGTATATCATAAAAATTATGAAAAGAATAAATCATTTGTCTACCAATAATAGTGTTTAATGGTATTATGGAAGATACATTTGTTCGTTAAACAAAATAACGTAACCTACATTTTATATAAAAAAAAAAGACGCCTTGATATCGTAAGCATTTTCAAAGATTAAATTCCATAGACCGAGATTAATAATCTTTCTGATTTCATATTGCTCTATAATTAGTTATACGTCAACCTCTGCATTCACAGCAAAATTGCTTGCAGCCAAAAAAGAAAAACAAAAGGGGGGGAAGAAAATGCGTTGGATTGCTATGTAATTTATGTTTCGCGTCCAAAAACATTTTTCCATCAGTTGACTTTTGACTTCCTTTTTTTTTTTTTTGGAATTTCCTCTCTTCTTCTCCTTCTTCCCCACCACTCTCTGACTCTACACAGACTAATTCTGGTTATATATATATATATATATATATATATATATATTCTCCAACTTGAGCGTAAAAAGATTTGAACATTATGATTTTACTGAATAATGGATCCTTTTCAAAAGTCAAAAAACGAATGGAGAAAAAACCCACTTCCTTATCGTTCCATCCAGTGGTCAAATAGGGAGCAATCAAGAAATTTCGTCAACAAGAAAAAGGGCCCTTCGCATTTTGGTGTTTAATGGTCAATTATATCACAAGAATCGTAACCCATTTCATACGTTCGTCGTCTGTCCTCTTCTTTTTTTAACCCCCGGTTTCCGTTTTCAGACACCATTCTTTTTAGGGTTCTGTAAAAAAAAAGCTCCTGACAAAGAATTTGTCTGATACAGATATATATATATATATATTTTGGTCCTAAAAGGAAAAGAAAAAGGTTTGAGCTTTGGTGATTTACGTGTTGACGATGGGGCTTTGCTGGGGTTCTCCTTCGGATTCTCCTGCAACACCCAGCTCTACTGGTAACATTAGTTCAGGTGCCTCCTTCAATCCCCCCCCCCCCTTTCTATAAATAC